CGTAACTATGAAATAACTTATGAACTATGAAATATGTTAACAACAAAGTAGAGTGCTTTCTTTATAAATTGTTTTTGTGTATTTAGAAAGAGTTGAGTAAAATTTTTGTTTTCCCCACTTATGACTGGAATTTATTTGAAGAAGTATTATTTGACTTGCTGGTGCATAGATAAGTTCACCTTTAGATAAAAACAGTATGTCTTTTAAAATATAATATATTGATGTCTTTTATCACAGTTTTAATCATGAAACCAGTCAGTGTATAGTGCATTGGAGCACTGATTCGAAACTAGCACAACTGACCTAACATGTTTCCATCTGAAAACTAATAATGCGTATTGAGTGGAACCACCTTAAATAAATGTATTAGAGAAGATGAGATGCTTAATTTTTGTATAATCTCACTAATTGTGATGTATTTTTGGTGAATAGATAACATTTTCTTCTCAAAGCAAAAATATTTAGACTAATTTAAAAATGTTATAATCACAAGTTCTTGGCAGCACTTTCTGTGTAGGTTCTGAAAACGTTTTTCCTCTATTTAGCCATAAAACTGTGAAGCATCATTCTTGGCAGATATCAGGAGGGCACTGGCACAGCTTTTCCTTCTTTGAGTATTAAAGTATAATTTCAAGGCTCTCTTGATTCTTATTAGAATTAACTGAAACATTTACTTGAGATTTTTTATCAACTGTAGCAATGTCCATCTCCAAATCTGATGCTGATATTTTGACTTGGGGTACACCAGCACTTACTACTATCATTGTTGTGTATATGTGGATCTTACTGCTGTGGTATATAACATTAATTAAGCACTACACTGACTGTGTTTTAACGGTATAATTAAAAATATTTTTAATTGCAGCTAAACCTTTGAAATAAAGGCTAATACTCAATGTCATTTTGGTCTATTGTTTTAGATGGCATTAACATTGAAGAAAATTTTTAGTGTATATTTTTATGGGATAATGTTGAATAGCAAAGGAATCTAATGCTCATTTTCCCCTTTGTTTTTCTTTATTCAGTGGAACAAGTTCCTGTAGAGCCCTACAACATTCCACTGTCTCAAGCTGAGGTGCTGCAGACGGGCAGTGATGTGACACTGGTTGCTTGGGGCACTCAGGTCAGTAAGGCTCTTACAAGCTCTTTGTCATCCAGCAAAGCCTAGGCTAAGGTTTAGCTGATGTTTGAATAGTGTTGCATTCAGGCTCAAGTGCCAGACAATAACCCATCTGCATCTTCCATCACTATATGCTTGCATAAATGATTGACAACATTTATATGTATATGAAACCTGCTTTTTATTGTGTCAGATTTTACTAATTTTTGGTTGGAGCTGACTCTGGAAATGTGGAAGAGGTACCTGTGCAGGAGGTTAATGACTTATCCGTGATTATGAAAGTGATACATTTTTAGAATGGGGCAGTGAGATGTGACTCTGAGGAAGGCAATGAGAAAGGAGAGTTGAAAGTAGTACGCTGAAAGAAAAATGTAGATTTTTTTTTTTTTTTTTACTCCATGATTTAAAAAAAGTACACTCTGGGGTTCCTTTTATACAAGGAGTTAAAATCCACTGAACATTTAATACAAATAGAGTTAGATATAGTTTTCATTCTAACAGTTATATTTGAGAACTGTTCAAGAATATGATTGGATGCCCCCACCCAAATTAAAATGTGCAAATGCTGAAAAATCTTTTGAAAAAATGGTTGTGTTTTTTCAAGAATTATAGAAAAGAAATTTCAGTGTAGTTTGGAATTACCAGAAAAGTTTTTTTATTGCCTGTATCCTATAATTAAGAAAATTGCTATTTTCCTGGCCTAATTATATCTGAGAAGCTTTTAAAGGAGGGAGTATTGTAACTTTCAGTTACAACAGAAGGTATTGAATTGATGACTGCGGTTGTGCCTTTTTTTTTGTTTAAAATCTGTAATCTTCAGTGCCCTTCTGTGATAGTTTCCTTGTCCTCAGACTACTTGATCTCCTTTATAGCAGGACTGATGTTAGAAATAACCTTTATAGCTATGGTTATTTCTACTAGTCTCTGATACTTTGCACTGGTATTAAATTATGGGCTATTTAAATATCTTTACTTCTACTCGTTTCTCCAGCAGCAAACAGTTTTTATAGTTCTCTGTGTTCCCTTTTGAAAATGCAAATTTTTGCTCCATATGGATGAAATCGTAGTGTTTGTCATATTCCCAAAAATGAATTGATAAAGTAATGGCTTAAAAGCGGCTATGGAGATTTAATAACCTGAGTTACACAGTAGGCAGTAGTGCAGAGAGGACTTGGAGGGACCTCCTTCCAAAAAATGATGTGCTTTGGAGCTTGGAAAATGTAGGCCAAGTGTTAAGACAAGCGGTTCTTTTGATATGAATAATAATATGACAGATGTGTAGCCTTACTCCAAATTTAGAAGCTGACCAAAGCACAGGTGTGGCTGTATAATACAACATGGGGACACATGCTTAGTGCATATGCAGTAAATCCTGCACGTTCTGGATGTGTCAGGCTTCTGCAGATCAAATAAGTTCGGTGAGTTTGTGCTGAGGTTGTTTGCAGGTTGTGGACATAAACTTGGAACCTTATTGCTAAACGTGCAACCAATCCAGAGTTTATTGTCAGTAGGCAGAGTGATTATATGTACTCACAGGTTACTTCTTGTATGATTTCGTACGTTGGGTAGTTGCTTGGCAGCTGCTGCTCTGATGGGGTTGCCTGATGTGTGCTTTCCTGGGTGGTACTAATGAGGGGCAATAAAGGCTTTTAGTTTCTCTCCAGTTGTGCTCAGTGTTTTATGGTCATTAACTAATCCTTATCCCCTGTGAACTAGGTAAACAGTCTCACTTATACATCAGAGAAACAGGAAAAAAAAAAAAAAATCCATCCCATGTGTCATGTTGAAAATTCTCAAACCCTCTTATTGCAGCCACAGATGTATTAGAAGTTTAAACAAAAACACTGCAAGCTATATTTTCTTTTTATTATTATAATATTTATATTGATTTACCTTTTAAAATAGACCTGTGGTGTTTAGCTATTCATATTTGCATTACGTAGACGCATGTTTTAAATCCTTAATCACTTTGTTTCAGCATAGATTTTTGCTCTATGTAGAATTTAATACTGTTCTCTGACCCTTAGGCAACTGACACTGCCTGTGTCCATATTGTTAAATTCTCTTGCCTTCCAAACCAAGATGACCTCATCCAAATTGCTTATTGGGGATGGTTCTTGGCCTCCAACTCCTTACCTATGCCTAGAAGTTGCCTGATGGAGGCCACCTGCCTCGTTCCAAACCTGTATTCTGAAACATTCTAACGATAAAGAAAACATCAGAGTTTTTTGACAACATAATATCAAGAAATTCTTTTTTACCGTCATATCTCATGAGCAACTACTTTTTGCTAAGATATTTGGAGAGGTTGATCTGAGTTGTTGTCATAACAGTTGTTTTCTGTGTTGGAGCTTTTGCTTGATAATGTTTGTTTTAGGGAAGCCAATGCTTACAACATGTTTTGCTTAAAAGTGTTGTGTAACATGATGTCAAGATACAGTTCTGAATATATGTAGTATTGCTTTCTTTTCTGTTCGTATCACAACATACCTTATGACAAGGATGCTAATAGGTGTGGATTGGTTTACATTTACTTTTGACGCACTTACATATGCTGCTAAATGCATTCCTTGACTGGTGGATATGGAATAATGTGTATTCTAATTCAGTACAAGCTTCTTGCTAGAGGCTTTTGTTTTAGCAAAATGTTAATTATAATAATCAGATAATCCAACATTGGTAATGTTGGTATTAACCTGTGTTGGAAGACCAGTGAATGGTCATACTGTCATATTAATGCCAATATGCTTTAATTGTGGGGGTCAGGACGGGATGTTTACAGATCATTTTTTAAATGGTACTTACTATCACTCCTAACTGTTCATAAGATGATGCTTTTGGAGTTGATCACTTTGTAATCTGTTGCACTTTCAGTAAATTGTAGTAAGTGTAATTACTAGAACTGGTTTTGAGTGTGTGTAATGCTTCTTGCAGGATTTCATGTGACTGCTACATCAAAATACATTACTCTCATATATTTGTGTCTTAGTTTAGTTACAGTCCTAAAAAAACCTTATCCTAAACCCCGAACTGACTACAACTATAAAATAGTGAGGCCTGCTACTGTTTATTGAAAGATACTTTTCTAGAAAGCAACAGTTTTGTTTTCATCAATTTTTCACTGAAGTTAGTTTTTGAAGTGGTGCTAAAATACTAGAAATATGTTAGTAAGTAGGAAGAATGAACTGAATAATAAATGCTTATTAGACTACTGAATAAAAAGGTTTCTGCTAAACCGCTTGTATTCAGTATGTGTGATTTAGAACCTCTTAAACAGAAATGAAATGTTTACTTGGTGATAATATATTGCCTTTTCAGGTACATGTGATCAAAGAGGTGGCAACAATGGCTCAAGAAAAGCTTGGTGTGTCCTGTGAAGTTATTGATCTGAGGACTATCTTACCTTGGGATACAGAAACTGTTTGCAAGGTAAAGAAACGATGCATGTTAATTTAAAAACACAACACCCCCCCCCCAATATATAAAATATATAATAACAATAATTTAAATGCAAATAATGATGACTTTTGTTCTTGAAGTTTTTTTTAAAGGCCTACATTTTTTTTCTTTGTATTGTATATATCGTTCTGTATTTTTTTGTTCTGCATCATCTATGAAGAGTAAATGCACGTTATGTGGACCAAACATTTGCTTTAGCATTGAAAGAGAATTGTGTTTCAGGGTTCAAAATAATGTTAGAATACATGTTCTTTGCACTGAAGCAGAGGGCAGGATTTAATCAGACCTGTGCTTGAAAACTGCTTTTCCATGATTTCTGGCTCTTTATCATCTTTACTGTCTTCGGGTCTGAAAACATCAGGTGAAATCTTATCTTTTTTTTTTTTCCTGCTCTTTTACACCAAGACCTGTACCTAGTTTTAGGTCTGCAGTAATGTGCCTTGGTTTTGTCTATCCATATTTCTAGAAATACATGTTTTGATTTAAGGTATATGAATTCTTGGTCTGAGAAGAAAAGGCAGCACTTACTATTCTCAGACCATCTGGTTTGAAATTCATGGGTACTGTGAAGTCCTTGTCAGCTCTATGGGAGTCTTGGATTTTTGCAAAGAATTTGTTTCAAAGCACTGGGCAGCTGCAACTGGAATTTGAATTGCCAAATGCAGAGAAACCATGGGAAGTGGTGGTTGTACTTCTGTATACTTTGGCCTGCTTACCTTTCCCCCCCACCCTGTACTGCTTTCTGTTTAGCAGCTAAGAAACTGCTTAGTTGGGAAGAAAGACGTAAAGGAAATGGAAGGGCAAGCGTTTCCCAAAAGTCTTTGTAAATGTAAGAATCCCAAGGTACACTTTTAAAAAGTGCCATTATTATCAAATTTTTTTCCCATTTTTCTGAATTGACAATTTTTTGTGTGTTACTTACAGTGTCTATAATCTTCCCCCCACCCCCCTTCATTTTTTGCTTACCTCTTTGATGAGGTACTTGTAACATTATAAATACATGAATAGACTTAGATTCTGCAAAATAAATGTTAGTATTGCTGCTTTGGGAGCACTCTTATACACAGGTCTTTTCTGTAGCTATCTCAGGAAAATTAGTCAGAAGTCTCTACCATGAAACCATTTTTGTCAAGTTACTTGAGAACTATGAGAGAAGAGCTTCTACCTGACCCATCTAACAGTGCGAATGCTGGTGAACGTGCTTTTGGACTGCCATGCTCCAAAAGGTTTTGCAGGTGTTTTTGCCTTTACATATTTACAGCATTAACAATTACAAGGTGTACCCCTACTTTATGGCAATGGCTCCCTTGATTTAAGCTTGGACAAGTTGTGTGGGTTAGAATGCTTGCTGCTTCTACTAGAGCTGCGGGTTTTGTTAAGTTGGCAAATCCAGTCCTGCAGGACTGGCTATCAACTCCTTGGGTCCTAATTCAACTTACCTCAGTAAGGGGTTTGCTCTTGGTTAGGTAAAATACAAACAGTTAAAGTGTGATAAAAGGAAAGATGAGCCATTGGTCTGTTACTCTATTGCAAAGCTTGTATTTCTCTGCAGTACGAATTTTACTGTTACGTTTGTCTGAGGGACTGCTGGTGGGACTGGATGGAGCAGATTATGGGCAAAAAGTTCCATGTTGAGTGTCTGCAATTGGCAGGGTCCTGTTGTCTGGTTGTGGATGTGTAACAAGTTGTGTACTTTGCACATAGCTATGAGTTGTTTCATATAAATTTGATCTTGTCAGTTGAAGCGTTTTCAGTGTTTGTTTGCAGTGTATTTCATGTTACTTGGATGTACTTTCTATCTTTGGCAGTATAAATCCTTTACAATCCCTTCTGGACAAGTGTTAAGCTAATTTTTTTTTCATTCTTTAAAGATTTGAATTGTCATTCTATGAAAACAAAGCATCTCTTTGAAAGAGCAGTTAAGTCTGTTTTATTGGATTGGACCTGCACTGAAATGCCATTGCGAAAAAATGCAGCTGTGCATAGACAGTGCAGTGCTTTAGTTGTACAATGTTTTGTAAATCTGTACTTTAAAAATAGATATTCCGTGAAGATTTTCAGCTTATCTTCCATCCTGAATATCTTGCAAGGTAACTGTGGCATAAATAAAAAGATTAAAGCAACAGATAGACCTGTTGCTTTAAACCTGTTCAAGGGTTTACTATTAAGAACTAAAAGGAAGCTATTTTGGTAGAAATATAGTGTACGTTCGCTGGGCAGTTCAGCTAGTTATTGTAATAAATACCAAATAGTAAACGTTTTTAGCATTGCTCTTTTGTTAGTACAGTTTGCAGGCTGGCCAGTCTGATGGGAGAAGTGTTAAATTATCTTTTGTAGATCTTGTCTGTTTTGCTCAGATGAAAGTACTTAGCGGTTTGCATTTGGTACTATGCAACACTGAAACTTTTTAACTTAATTTGCATCCTGGACAGCTTTTAAGGTAGTCACCAATGGATTGTGATTGGTGAAAGATGGATGGTGGAGGGGATAGTTGTAGCTGCTTGCTGTAGCCTCACCCCAAGAGGAGCTGCGTGGTGCAGTTGTTGCAGATGACAATGGCTTTCAGAGTCTGTGTTCCAGTGATGGGACTTGCTGTACTTCAGCTATTCCCTTCCTGAGATGCCAGTGTCAAGGCCCAAGAGAGAGGTAGAAAAGTTGGCCATGCCAGAGAGAGTCCCCAGCTGTCTGGGGACTGCTTAAGTCCTCTCTGCAGGCCCTTAGTAGGTACTGGGATTGATTTTTTTTTTTTTTTTTTTTTTTTCCCCCAGCCAATAAGCAAATCACCAGCTGTTACAGGGCTGCCCTTTGCCCCAGCCTATGTCAGCCTCTGTAAATCTCAGGCCAAGCTGTTGTCTTCCCTCATCTTACATGCATGTTTGAAATACATGTCTATCATCTCCTTGTCCTGTTGGACACAGGAAAAGGATGGTGTATGGATGCACTGGAACCTTATTGCCATTCTGCTGGTGTTGGGATGCGGTGTCCTCTGCTGATGGGAGCCTGTGCTGTGACCTTATCGGAGAGCAAGACTTTGGGCGTTGACATAAAAACGCATCCCTCAATTTTACTGCTGGGAGTGGTGTCCTTTGTGATCGAGCACAGGCTGTTATTTCAGTCCTTGGCCTACTGCATCTTTCAGTCCCTGCACATGCATGTCTCCATTCACATGTCTTTCATGCCAGCCTTAACATACCTAGAATCATAGAATACCTGTTACAATTCTCCATGTTATTATGATTCTCCTGTCTGCTGGCTCTTTCTAGAAGGCAGGAGGCCTTATCTAGCTTCTTGTAGGTTGTGTGATTGATCCTAATCATGTGCCTAACTTTTGGGTTTCCCGTGTTCCCTGTGGGTCAGTGTCATGAAGCTATAATAATGGAATTGAATTTTATAGAAGCTGTATGCATTTGCCAGTCTAATATCTTTTACTCCGCAGGTTTATTTTTTTCTTACGCTTACCCAAGAAATGTTGCATATTTCTATATAAATATTTCTGTGAATTTTTCTTGTTGGTCTATGTAGTTTTTAAAACAAATTCAAGGAAAATTCATGGTTGGTCTTGGGGAATGAGCAGGCCTCATAACCTTAACTTAATTATTACTATCTTTAGAAATAACTTTAACACTGAGGTTTTCAATGCAGCTATTTGAAAATGAGATCCTTTAACTGGAAATATATGCTTCAAGACTAATTTGACAACTGTGGTGTAGGCATTGAGAAGGATGGACTGAAATAGTGCTTTGGAGATGAGCAGTAATGTGTCAAAATTTTCACTGCGAATCTAACTGCTTAGTCTGCGTTCTGTAGCTGTTTCTGCATAGAAAATTACGTCATCAAAATACATATTTCATAAAACTCTGAGAAGTTATACTTCACAACTGCCACCAGAGGCCTCTTTATAACTAAGTTAAGCAGCTGTTTTGACTTTGCATCGCTCCGATGAGCATATTTATGAATCTATGGCTCTGAGTGAAACATAAATAAATAAAAATAATAAATATAGTGAACATATATAAAAATTGCTGCCTAATTTTTCTTTGCATTTTTAAGACTTTAAGATTTACATTCAGTATAGGTTAGCATTTGTCATCTGCATAAGAAGGAGATAAGGGTGCACCTGCCTGGAGCAGACTGCCATGGGCTTTGAATGACTCTCAGCAGTAATTGAAACCTCCTCTTTGGCACAATTCCTAGGATGGGTAAACATGCAAACAGGGGCTAGATTTTTCTTTTGTCATACTTCAGATGTCTAAGAATGAATATTGAAGTTTGAGCTAGTTACAGTAGCTCATAGAGCCAGTCTAGAGAAAGGGTATGTCCTGAGGGTCATTCATCCCAGCTGTTTCAGCAGCCTATTTTGGGATGAGATAAATTGGCCTCTGGAAATGTTCTGGTTAAAAAAGAAAAAAAAAGTAAAGGGAGCCCTGATTGATGAGGGTAGTATAAAGTCAGGTGAGAGAAATTCCACCCTTGTACAGCTGAGAGATGACTCTTCCTGC